ATGGTTATTTAAATAGACGCTAAAGATCATGGGGAGCATCAGACTGGACTTTGTGAAGGGTGGGGGGGAAACCAGAGACTTGTAGGACGCATACATCTGAGAGGAGAATTATGATGGAGGACATGAGGAGGTTCCTGTATCACAAAGACTTACTGTGGGGAGAGTGGGCCGCCTACCGGAGGAGAACCGGACTTATCCTAATCATTAGAGCAATTAAAGGGAAGCAAATAACAAGAAGACAGCAATACAATCTGCCGTTAGAAACAGAAGAAGAAGAAGCCTTCCCTCTCAGACCTGCTGACTCCAAGGCTCTCTGTGATCACCCTGTGGCCTGCTACTGACTCCAAGGCTCTCTGTGATCACCCTGCGGCCTGCTTCTGAGAGGTGGGTGGTGGAGGGTTAGGGTAGGTTTGGGGTACCCTCTACATCACAGGTAAACTGTGTTGGACACACTAGGTTAGTAGATTGAAGCCCCCCCTGTAATTGTTTTGTTTCTTCTTGTTAGTATACCAGATGGTGAGGGGGGGGGGGGCTTTTTGTTTGTGGTGTGTTTCAGAGAGAAGATTTAGAGATGGGTCTTTCTGTTATATTTATTCACTGAAGTTGTTGGCGTTATTGTTTTGGTGTAAATAAAAACACTTTCACCGTGACTCTCTCAATGTTATTGGTTGTTGTCTCAACGTAACAGAACTTTATGTTTCTCATACTGCCTGAGCTGCAGCTCCTCTTTTCACCCTGCGTCTGAAACCAGAGCCCAGTCTCAAGTCTGAGAAAAAAGTGAAAATCTGGGGGAAATGTAAATGATGAAACAGAAGTCAAAGGATGAGGGCAGTGACCCACACACGAAACTCCGTTTATTATTAGATTATTTTACATTTTAATTACATCTTATATTTCATTTATAAAGCACAGAATGATATTGTAATTCATCTCAAAGACTATGAGACTAGAATAATCTTCAGTAGTGCATATATCCTCTCATTGGCTGTAAACAACACTTCATGTGTATTCATTGAGATCAGAGGTATTTGACGTTGGGGAGGACGCAGAGCATCTCAAACAGGAGGTTAGCTCCGGTCAGCGCCGTGTTTCCTGAGGGGGGGAAATATATAAATATAATGATTTAAACATAATGAAATATATGAATAATGAAACAGAGTGTGTCGTACCGGTGGTGTCGTAGGGGGGAGACACCTCCACCAGGTCACAGCCCACCAGGTTCAGACCCCGACAGCCACGGATTATCTCCACTCCCTGAGAACAGACCAATAAATCAGCATCATTGAACAGCGATGGTGGACCGACAGGAGAAACATGCTCTTTTGGGAAATCACAATTATAACCTTTTTCAGAAAATCTCAAAACTTTTTACAAATCTGAAAATGTTGACTATTTCCAGCAGATGTGGAGTTTTTACAAAAAATCTCAGCATCAAGACTTTTCCAAAAATCGCAAAACGTTTTTTCTGAAAATCTCAGAATCCTCTCTTTCCCCCGTTATAAATCCAGTAGCAGTGGTAGTATTATAGAAGTGTCTCATAAGAACCGATGTAATACAGCAGTAAGCAGTAGTTACAGTACTCTACCTGTATGGGGGTGAGCCCGGCGATCTCGGGGGTCCCGGTGCCCGGAGCAAAGCCGGGGTCCAGAGCATCAATATCAAAACTCAGGTACACCGGACCCCCTCCCATCTGACCCCTGACCTCCTCCATCAGGGGAGCCAGAGACTTGAACCAGCACTCCTCCACCTGCACTACACGGAAACCCTACACACACACACACACACACACACACACACACACACACACACACACACACACACACACACACACACACACACACACAGTCAGGCCCAATTCCAAACCGCCCCCTACACACTAACCCTGTCACGATTCTTAGTTTTTTGTGTTTAGTTACAAGTTTTATTTTGAAATTCTGTTCTCCCTGTGTCTGCTCTTCCTTCCTGTGTTTGCCCTCCTGTGTCTGATTGTCTCATTAAAGGTTTCTCAATACTCTCATTTCCCCTCCTCGACTCCTATCCTCGAGACTTAGTCCCGCCCACAGGAGATGCGAGCGGAGG